AAAAAAATAGGTCTTGAAATTAACACTGAGAAAACAAAGATAATGGAACTAATTGAGAGTGGGGAGGACCCTAGTAAGTCGGAGAATTTAGCCTATGAAAAAGTTGGCGATTTCAAATATCTGGGAGCTACATTAAGTACAAAGAATGATTGGTCAAAGGAAATAAGTATTCGGATAAACAAAGCTCAGAGAACGTTCTATGCATTGACAAAATTTTTCACGTCCAAAATGTTATCAAGGAAGACGAAAGCAAGACTATACGTAGCCATTATAAGACCGACGCTAACATATGGTTGCGAAGCTTGGACGACAACCAAACAAACAGAGAGAAAACTGAGGACTTTTGAACACAGAATATGGAGGAAAATATGTGGACCTGTCTTTGACGAAACAACGGGGAATTGGCGGAGGAGGTACAACAGAGTTTTACGATATGTTGGAACTAACAACAGTACCAAGCTTCATTAAAAGCCAAAGGATTCAACGGCTAGGACACATAATGAGAAGACGAGAGAATGAAATAGTTAGAGTGACATTGGAATGGAAGCCAATAGGTAAAAGACCAAGAGGTAGACCGAGAAAAAGATGGATAGACGTGGTAGAAGAAGATTTAAAAATCCTTGGAGTTGAGAATTGGAGGGAGACAGTTCAAGATAGAGACAGGTGACGAAGTGTAGTAATGGCGGCAAAAACTCTTAGAGAGTAGAAATGCCATTAGAAGAAGAAGAAGCAATTACGTTTATTATGAGTCTGCATAATAATAATAATTTTACATATAAAGATGTATTGAAAATTCAAAATGGTATAGTTGAACATTTAACTAAACCAATGGCACAAATGCTTAACGAATTAAATCAAACACAAGTAGAAGATTCAACCACTAAATCAAAACTAAATAAAATTTCCACAGTATTTTCAAATCCTTTTCAATTTTGTAAAACTGAGTATCGTTTAGAACAATGGTTAGTCCAAAATCAGTATGTAAAAAACGTGCGACAATTTACGATAAACAATACAATTTGTAACATTCAACTTTTGGGAGAAACCATATACGGTGAAAAAGTGACTAAAGGAGTTCTGTTACCTTTAAAAGAACAATTTAAAAAATATCTTAAACATGGTGATAATTTAAATAACTTTATTAATAAACTTAATTTATTAAAAAATGATAATTTTAATATTTCCCATTTTGTTCAAGGAAATCTTTGTAAGCAAAAAACATCTCAGTATGCTACAGGAAATTTAGTGTTTCCATTTTTTTTATATATGGATGACGTAGAAATTAACAATCCTTTAGGGTCACATGCTATGTCCCAATCAATGTCTGCTATATACTATAGCTTTCCACTTGCAGAAAACAATTCACTTCTCTCAAACATTTTCCTGGCTGCTCTTATAAAAACCACTGATTATAAAAAATTTGGAAATGAACCATGTTTAAAACATTTAATAAATGAAATTAATATCCTTGAAAAAGAAGGAATCATAATCTCAACACAAGAAGGGGAATTTCATGTGCATTTTATTTTAGGCCTAATATTAGGAGACAATTTAGGATTGAATACTATGCTTGATTTTAGTAAATCTTTCTCAGCAAATTACTATTGCCGATTTTGCAAAGCAAGTAAATCTGAAGCTTTAAATTTATTTGTTGAGAAAAAACAGTTAATGCGCACAATAGAAAAATATGCTAATGATATAAGTTCAAACGATTTTACAAGCACAGGGATTTATGGAGAGTCTGTTTCAAATCAAATATACAGTTTTCATGTTGTGGCGAATTATTGTGTTGATGTTATGCACGATAGTTTGAAGGCATATGTCATTATGATATGTGCCATGTAATTTTATATTACACTCAGACTGTTAAATTATTTTCCTTAGAAACATTAAATAATCGTAAAGCCAATTTTAACTATGGTCCTATAGAGGTTGGAAATATTTCACCCCCAATAACATTACTGCATTTACAAAAATACCATTTAAAAATGTCTGCTCGAGAGGTTATGACATTCGTACATTTTTTCCCTCTTATGGTAGGAGATTTAATTTCTGAAAATGATGAGGTATGGAATTTTGTTATTATTCTTTTGAAAATAGTTGATTTATTGCTATCTTACAAATTTACAGAAAATTCTATAAAATATTTAGAACAATTAATTAAAGACCATAATTCTGTATACAGTACTCTGTTTAACGATTCATTAAAACCAAAACATCATTTTCTTATACATTATCCAAATATAATACGTGAATCAGGACCACCTCGACATTATTGGTGTTTTCGCTTTGAAGCAAAACATAGAGAAATTAAGACATATGCACGTTCTATAACTTCAAGGAAAAATATTACACTGACACTAGCAAAAAAATCCCAAATCAAATTTGCCTATCTGCTAATGCAACAAAACAAACATAATTTAGTAGTAAATCCAAAACATAAAATTACTAAAAGCCAATATGATCAAATAATATGTAATAAATATAAAATAAGATCAAAACAGTTTGAATGTTTTCATAAGATTGAATACATAGGTACTTGTTACAAAGAAGGATATTATTTAACTAGATTTATTAATGAAATGTGTTTATTCAAAATATTAGAAATAATAATTATTAATAATATTCAAATAATTATCTTAACTAAATAAATAAAATTAAATGGGTTTCATTCTCATTTCGAAGCCTATGAAGTAGATTTGAATGAATTTGTAATTTTAAAACCTGTTTTTAATGAAATAAATGATTTTAATGGACCACCAATAAATTTGATTAACACTGTAATGAACTGAACACGTCGAGTTTTATCATTACAAAATAAGTTTATTTATAAGCATAATAATTTTACCAGAATGGATAAAGATATATGTATGAATACATAATAAAATATAACATAACATAAAATTTAACAAAATATAGCATTTAACATAACATAAAATTTAACAAAATATAACATTTAACATAATAAGTAATATTTAATATGTTTATCACTTACGGCTCTGTAGCACTTTGAAGTAAAACGATAATTTAAATTATTCAATGTTGCGGCGTAAAAGGGGACACGAGTGTATTACGGAGCCTTATAACAACGAAAAATAAAATAGTCAAAGGTGTGGGGTAATAAGGCCACACCGGACTATTTATTTACTCACACAACTTTAAATTTAAAAAGAAAATGATTTACGCGCCGAATATGTTATTGAAAACTGAAATTATTTTGGTGGGGAACGCTGACATCGGTGGGGAGATACTTTTAGGCCAGGCAGTCCGACAGACGGGGTTTTAAGGTAGTACCCTGGACTCTGAACCTTAAGAAATATCTCGCAACCGATATTTGGTCAGAAAGATGTAACAAATTGGTCTGTCGGTCTCATATATATGTGTATTTGGTGTTTATTGATTTAATTTCCCGGGTGAGTAAAAGGTACATGTTTCATTTAATAAGTTTTGGTAGATTAATGTATATTGTATTTGGAGATATGTATTTATTGTGCACTGTAGGTGTTTCTGAATTTTACTATTTATTTACTGTTAAAGAAAGTTGAAAGTTTATTAATTGTATTACAAATTTTATGTTTTTTAATATTACATCGCGCCAGCGCTATCTACCGTCGTTGCAATGTTAGATCGACGGGTCGATGCGTGACGTCATGAGATACCGGTGGCGCGGCATAGCGGATGGTAGTAGGTGTGTGTGATCGTTACAACACTCCAATGGGCAAAAAACTGTTCAGGATAAAAGAATATTTTGTATAACATACTTAATATATATTTCTTATTTGTATTTTACTAATAACCTAAATTTTAAGTTTATTTTTTTGTACTTGGAATAATTTTAATTTAACAAATAATTTTTAAATTTTATGTATTATAAAGACATCATATAATTAAATTACATATGATAGGTAGTATAATAATGTATTATAGTGATTTAATTTATATTAATTTATAAAAGAATGAATAAGTACCAAAATATTTTTGACAATATGGATAGTTCAATGTCTGAATCAATGATGTCCAATAATGATTTGAATGAAGAGTCTTCTCATTCAACCAAAAAGGCTTCCATTGATTTAAATCAAGTTAGTATCACATTTAAAATATTAAAAACTGAAATAATAATATACTTTTATATTTTAAAACTAGGATGAACTTGAATATGTAAATATTCCAACAGTTGCTGGTTATACCTACCCATTGGAAAGTGTTCAGCAAATCAGTGACTTATTAAACCAATGGGGTTTAAATTGCTTGTACAAAACTTGCTTGTGTAAGCTTGATATAATTATTCCATAAATAACTAATTCACATATTTTTTTATGATTTAACATATTTTATTTTACATATAGCTGAACTTATAGATATTAATAATTTATCAAGAATAAATTCACTTGAAATTTCAAAACTAGTCAAGGAATTTCCTTTGGGTATT